GATGTGGCACTGCAGGGAAAGCACTGGACAGTTAGCTGCAAAGTTGGCAGTTCAAACCCACCAACAGCTCCTTGGAAACCCTATACAAGGTTGCTATGAGTTGGAATCAACTCAATGGCATGCAATGCTAACAACAATAATATATATCCTTAGTACAATTATCCTCAAAGAACAAGAAGACATGGTTACTAGTATTCTAATGTAAAACAAAGATTTCATGCCCCACATGGCTATTAAAATAGAAATTAATGCCAATAATTTTAAATCATTCATGTATCCATAGTTTTTTAAAGCACTTTTTGTTTTTGTTGTATTTTTATTAAAATTGTTGTCATCAACTCAGCATTCATATGTTTTGTTCTAAAAGGATATGTCTGTGTTTCTAAGTAATGATAGTACTATCACAAAAATAATTTTAAAGTAAATATAATGTTAGAAACATGACTAAACTTTTCTCAGCTTCTGCCCCTTCATCTATAAATGGATTCTCTCCCAAGACTGTTGTTAACTGTGATTGAGTCAGCCCCACTCATGGTAAGCCCATGCACAACAGTAAGAAATACTGCCCATGCCAATGGTCCTGCACCATGCCATCCAGTCCACTGCAGATTGGATCATTGTGATCCATAGGGGTTTCCTTGGCTAAGTTTTGGATGTAGATCACCAGACCTTTCTTCCTAGTCTGTCTTAGTCTGGAAGCTCCACTGAACTTTGCTCAACTTCATAGCAGCATATAGCCTCCACTGACAGATAAGTGGTGACTGCACTGTATAGTGTTTCTGAGGAGCTGCTGGTGGATTTGAACTGCCAATCTTGTGGTTTGCAGTCCAGTGTTGATCCTACAGGGCCACACCAGGACTCTGGGTCTCCTACACAGAAGGCGAGGATTCTACCACTGAGCCACCAATGTCTCCATTTTCCTAGATGACTGGGAGGATAGAAAGAAATAATGCAAGTCTGCCAAACAACCATTCAACAAATGGTATCCCTCCCCTTACTCTTCTTTCAAAAATGGCAAAGGTCTTGATGTTATAAACGTATTCCATATACACCTGCACATTAACAGTAAGTTGCTCAAATTTCCAGTAAATGAGTTCAAGGAGGTTATGATGGAAATGCTATGTTGCAGTTGGCATAAATATATAAGGATAGACACCATCGATTCATGATTTCATTGTGCACCAAATATACTTGTGTTTCACCACATTTCTCCACAGATTCCACAGAGATGTATCCCCAGCACGCGCAGTCTCTGGACGGCACCACAGGCGGCACCATACCGCTGTACAGGTCCTCAGAGGAGGAGAAAAGAGTAACAGTCATCAAAGCCCCCCACTACTCGGGGATCGGGCCAGTGAATGAATCCGGAATCCCCATAGCAATTAGGACGGTAGGGAATGCCAGTGTGTGCGTTGCTCTGGTATTGTGCACAGATGGTACAAAGGGTGGATTGTCAATGGCTTCATGCATTCCTACGATCGTCTATAATGAGGATCCTGCTCTGTGCCATAGAAGTTCCCATTAATATTATGCTGTGTGTGGTAGAGAAAGAGAAATGTTGACTGAAAATAATCACGTATTTCAGTGACGTTCTCAGTTTTTCTATTTTAATTCAAAATCATTAAAATTTTTATTTTTTTTCAGCGTTTAAACTATGCTTTTTTTACCTTCTATCAAGAAGTGTTAGGGCAATAGAGAGAAAAGAGAGGAGCAAGAAAGCACGAATTCTTTGGCTGAATTGAATTCCCACATGCATTGCAAATAAGCCTGTGATTTGTTTCTTGAAATGGATGTGTCTTAACACCAGAGTTTGGGAGCTGTGAATTGGTTGTTGGGAGGTAGGATGTTTGGAGTGTAGAGAGCTAATGTCTCAAGAAAAGTACACGTTTTTAGTGTCCTTCTTCTGCTGTGCCTACGGAGAGCTCTCCAGGGATGATAAGTGAAAGTGTTTGGATTTTTTTTTTTTTTTTTTAAGTCTTTAAACTCTGCCAAAGCTTTGCTCCGTGTGTCAGGGCAGCCCCTTCTGGCAAAGCTCAGCACTAGCAGAGGTGACTACCGAGAGCTGAGCAGGCAGCTGCTCACTGCCCAGGGCCACTTGAACAGAAGGTCTGTGCTACTAGCTGCTAGAAGGAAGACTGAAAGCAGGATGAGAGCAGCTACACCTCTGCAGGTGAAATTGGGGGGAGGTGCAAGAATGGAGCTCTGGCGGGATACCTTGGGCCTGGCCACACCAGCAAAAAGGGCTGGGGAGTTGCCAAAAGCTAGTTCCCTGGAATGCAAAACTGGGGAGTAGAAGAAAGTAGTGGATAGAGTACACGAATGGGAAAGATAGGGGAGAAAATAAAAATAATGTGGTTTGATTGAAAATACTAAAAAAAAAAAAAAAACCTAAAAAAAAAATTGCAAGTTTTTTTTACATCTCTCTCTGAACTTGTACTTATTATATGGGGTGTATGGGGTCTACATTTAGAGGTGAGAGTTAAAAACTGATTATTGTAGACATTTGTATTAGAATTCGAAGACAATAAATAAATCCACATAGCAGTCACTGGGATTTTAGACCAGTGAGGTTGAGGGAACCTTGTAAGGTGACGACTTGTAAAGTCCTAAAAATCTACATTGTCATATTTAAATGTCCGCAGAAACTCAGGGGTTTTGACTAATATTTCTAGTCTTTTGAAAGTTATATGTTTCTGGTGATGGTGCTCTGTTATGTGTTTCTTTTTTAAGATTTCTGACTCTAAAAATAGTTAAATTTGAATTATTTTTTGTTTCTTTGTTTTGTTTTATTGTGCTTAGGTAGAATGCAATCTCAGGTAGAGTTTGGTTGTTTTTATCCAATTGACACATAAAATGTAGTAGATAAATAAATTCAGAGCTCCCTAATTCTGTGTAGTTATAAACCTCATTTGAAATGGTTTTACCTGGCTGCATTATTAAATTTGTAATTGATATAGTAAAATGGATATGCAAACATGATTCATGTTTTTATCCTGAAGACATAATTTTCCTTAAGTAACAAGAGCTTGCTTTCTTAGTTTTTAAAAAGGAAAACTAAGATGTAAAGCTAAGATGGGTTAATGAAAATGAAGTAATATTAAAATGTTCATATTTTCATATTATCAAAGCTTACTTATCAAAAGCATGGTTAGAGATGCATAATCACATGTAAACACTAAACATTTTCTTCATAGTTTCTTTTCTTACGAAATAGAAAAATGGAATATAAGCAACTCAGTAGTTCCTTATAAGGAACCAATTTTTATGTGCAAATGTGCTCTAACTTAGACCTTTAAAACTCTACCATGAAGGCACAGGTCTGTGGAGTCTCTTCTCCTCTTCACATTTACTATTTTTCAGCCTTACAGAGCACATCCAAGTATAGTTGTGTTTATAATACTGAGTCAGACCCGTCTCTGAGCCACAGCAGGCCAAGAATCTCCAAGGTTGTTTTTCTTTCTCATTCGTGTAGAAAGTAATGATTATCAGATTCCAAATTGCTTCACCTTAGCTTTTCGCTCAGTGCAGTGAGACCATCAAAGGCACCACTGTCTCAGTATACCATATTATCCTATCAGCATAGACAACCAGAGTATACGAAGGAAACAGAAATTTGCAAAGTAAACCAGAAATTCTAGAAAGCCAAGAGTCAACAAACAGTACCTTTGAGTTATTTTAATGAAGGAAAGCAGCTTCCCAGATTGGGTGCTCTCATGTGACCTGGGATGTCTGTGTCAGCCTTTTACTGCCATTCTTAACAACAACAACAAAAATCACTGGAGCTCAGGTCCCCTGAGATTATGTAATTTAAGGCCAGCTAGTTAAGTGAAATGTGAGATTTCTTTACTGCTAGTGCAAATATAGCACTTGTTTGAGAATTTTCAAAGCTAGAAAGGGCTAAAACAAAACAGAATAGCTACTAGTGTGTAGATTTTTTTTTTTTTTTTCTTCCCTTTTTGGAAGTTTGTTAAGTATATGTAGAGCTCTGAAACTGCAAAATCTAGGAAGGTAAAACTTCAGAGAAACTAGCTGAATCTGAATTACTAGAAGCTATTGTCTTTCCAAATAGTTTTGAAAAATACATACAAAAGTAAAATTCCTCAAATTCAAGTAGACTTCTATTTTCTTAATCTTGATATTAGGCATAGTCATCTGGTTTTCAAAAAGGAGTTTTAAATGCTTGGATTGGAGTACTTCTTTTAGAAACAGGCATACAGTTGCAGTATTCCCAGTGCCAATTTAATATTCCCCTTTGCCAGTGGACTGGGCATTTCCAGACATCTCTGTGCTCACCATATAAAGCTAGCAGATGGCACAACTATGAGATCCTATCTGATATTTGCCCTCCAGCAAGTTAGGGGAAATTCTTGTCTGTCAAGATACATGGCCATATACAGCGATATAACTTACTTATTAGGCTTCCTTGTTGCTATTGGCTGTGTCCAGGTATGGTAGGAAAACATTTTTGCACAAAGATATGTCTCATTTTCAGTTTCTTAATGCTAAGTGGGGTGTGCTGTGACTCTGTAGGATAGGTAGTGAACTGTAAACCACAAGGTTTAGTTAGTAGGTTCAAGCCTACTAGCTACTTTACAGTAGAAAGATGAGGCTTTCTGCTCCTGTAAAGATTTACAGCCTCGGAAACCCTGTACAGGGTGGCTATGAGTCTGAACTGACTCCATGGCACATAACAACAACAACTGTTATTAACAAAGAGTCCTAGTGGCACTGTGTGTTAGACATTGGGCTGCTAGCCACAGGTTGGCACCTCAAACCCACTGCCCCCCTGAGGGAAAACGATGAGACTATCTGCTCCCATACAGATTTACAGTCTCAGACATCCTCTGTAGCGTTGCTGTGAGTCAGAATTGACTCACTGGCAGTAAATTTGGTGTTAATGTTGTTATTAAATGAGCATCTATTATGTTCCAGACACAAAAGGCGATTATATTTATGAGGAACATGCATAACTGGGTAAATTGTTAATATTGCTATCATATCATAGTAAAGACTTAAAAAAAAAAAACTTTTATCAAAGAGTTGTTGTTATATGCCATTGAGTCGATCCTGACCCGTAGCGACCAACTCTGTATAGGGTTTCTGAGGAGCAGCTGGTGAGCTTGAGCCACCAACCTTGTGGTTCAAACTGACCTTGCAGTCCAGTACATTAACCCACAGCACCATACCAGGAGTAGGAATCTACTATTTAAAAAGATAAAGCGTACAGAGATAAACATTTTGGAGAACAATGTTTATTTGAAACCAATTTAGTAACAATTGGGTCTTTTCTTTTATAGACAGTTGACAGGCCGAAGGACTGGTACAAGACAATGTTTAAGCAAATTCATAAGGTGTATAAGCCTGGTATGTATGCTTTTCTGGTTTTTGCTCTGGTACTTGTGGGTTGAAGGATATACTCTCATCTTTTGTGTAGGTTTTGTTCACACAGAATATTAAGACCCTAGTGAACATCCTGGTCCTTCCTCTTTCTGTTTAATGCCCTCTTTGTTCTCCTTATGTTGTCCCTCCAGCCACAGATACCTGGTCCTTGCCTCACCCCTGTGCTGCCAAGTAGCCTTTGCAAGGTGGCCCCTTGGAGGAATGCCAAGCATTCTGGTCTTATCTGGTTCTTCCTATCCACAATCTAAACCTGTGTGTTGTCTGCTGGAATGGACTCATTATTCCTCTGTCCACATATGTCTACTCTTTATTAGGAGAGTAAGAATTGGTAGGGATGAGTGTGCCTTCTCAGTGCAGTTGTTAAGAGGTCTTTAAAAGCCACTTACCAAAGGACATGAAAGATCTGTCTGGTAGGGCAGTTTTCATTGGACTGCTAATCTAAAGGTTGGTTGTTCAAACCCACCCAGGGGGGGAAAAACTGGTGATCTGCTTCCTTTACAATTATAGTCAAGAAATCTCCATGGATCAGTTCTACTCTGTAACACCATAAGCTGGAATCAACTCCACGGCAACTAACAACATCAAAGGAAATGTATGATTCAGAAGAGAAGGCTGCTGGGGAAGTGAGGAAAAGGGAAGGACCTTGTCTGCAGTGAAGAGGGAATGTCTGCAGTGAAAAGGGAACCAAGGCAAATAGGTAGCAGAAAAGATGGGCCCATGTGCACAAGTCCAGCAAAAAGAAATAATTGAAAATTTTTTTAAACAAAATCAGTATGAACTAGGAAATGGTCTGGTTTATTAAACAGTCTCTGCAGTCCTTCTGCAGTTCTGCTGTCTTGTTATACAATATGGTGACAGAATATGTATTACCATACTATTTATGTTTCATTTTCTAGATGATGATACAGACATGTATAATACTCCTTATACATATAACGCAGGTAGGATGGGTTTCCTTGCTTGCAATGAATGGTTTCTATTCGGCTGTGTTTGCAAGAACTACGCGGTCACTTTTTGACCACTCCCTTTGAGCATGTTTTCAGTTTATGTAATCAAAAGGATCCTTTTTTATACATATTTTTCTTGCTTTCTTTTCTCAGCATGCATAGCAAAAGGATTGATCTTTTCTCATGGAAATGAGAACTAATATTGTTTAATCTCTCTCTCTCTGTTGGCTTATTATCAACTTCAGGAATGTTTAACCAAAATATGAAGGACACCATGAAAGAATCCACTATGACCCCCAGCTACAAAATAAAATAAAACGATCTTCTCTTATCCGTAGAGAGAGACTGGTTCCAATTGTGTAACATCTTTCTGATATGCTTCTCTGAAAAAAAAAAAAAAAATCAAGCGAAGTATTGTGTGACCTTGTCCACACTTTTGCTCCAAAATGCTACCATTCAATAAAGAGAAAAAAGGCAAAGAAAAAAAAAAAAAAAAAGAATCCCACTTTGCAGGGTTTTTTTCTGACTCAGACTTGCCAGGGGTCATAATGGAATTATTTTAACTCTGTTTGGATTTGAGTATATTGGCATCTTATTAAGTGGTCTGCAGGCTGGAGACAGAGGACTTCTAAAAAACGTTTCCTTGTGTGACTTTCTCCAGAATGTGGTATCAGGGAGTCCCACATGGGGCCTCCCCTCTCTACAAAGCCTCAGGTCCAGACCAGTTGCATAGCTGATTGCTTCCCTAGGTTACAACTTCAGTTAGTGGTCCCATGGCTACTCTAGTCATAAAAAGTATGTGGAATTTTCTCTTCCTTTATGCCTAAAGACCAGCACTCAGGTTCTTCTCTACTTACGTATTTTGCCACTATTCTCCTTTGGTAGCGTAGTGGTTATGACTTTGGTTACTAACCTCAAGGTCAGCAGTTCGAAGCTACCAGCCCTTCCAGGGAAGGAAGATGAGGCTTTCTGCTCCCTTAGGAGCTCTGGTAGTGTAGTGGTTATGAATCGGGCTGCTAACCTCAAGGTCGACAATTCGAAACTACCAGCTCTTCCATGGGAGAAAGAGGAGGCTTTCTGCTCCCATAAAGATTTGCAGCCTCGGAAACCCTGTGCAGGGTCGCTATGAGTCAGTACCGACTCAGTACTTAACAACAAAGAGTGACAGCCTTGGAAACCCTATACAGGGTGGCTATGAGTCCGAATCAACTCTACCGCACACAATCGCCTCCAAAGAAAAATATTCAAAAGGTTTAGCAAACTGCAAGGCCTCTGGGTTGTGGGACGTGGCTCCCCCAGAGAATAGCAGGAGTCCCATGAGATGTTTCCTTCAACTATTATTCCTGGGAGAGGCACACGTGGTTAAAAGAGCTGGTGGTTAAAATCCAGCAAGAGTTAGTCCTCAGAAGGAAGGTATACCAGGTCTTTCTTTATTTAACGCTAGAGCATCTCAATGGCAGAATGGAAGCAAAGCCATAAGGGCTGCCTCTGTCAATTTCCCTCTGTCATGGAAATTTGCATGGACTTTCAGGAGAGGCAGATGAAGAAAAGGAGAATTAACCAAACAATAGAAGAAGTTGCAGGCAATCCAAAATTTTCATAAAATTTTAATGTTAAAGTTTGTATCACAAAAAATAGTAAATTGAACAGTTGTTATATATTATTATCTTCAGAGACAAGTTAGTTTTACCATTTAGTCTATAGACCAAGCAACTACAACTAATCTCTTCCTTTCCTCCTAACCCTAACTCCCACTGATTTATGTCTTGCCCTTTCATACTAATTTTTCCTATGCCATCCCTGGAACCCTCTTCCCCCAAACTAATCCTTTAGGGTCAATAGTATTCTCATTGGTTCCTTTATACCTTGTCTGACCAATCCAATGTCTTCTAACATAGTTCTTATGTGTATTTTCCTCATTTGGCCTATATTATATACTACCAATCACTTTATATCATCGTTTTATTTGTGGCTCATTCCCAAATGCACTATAAGCTTATTAAGGGTATATGTTTTCTTGTGCCTTGCATGCACCTTATACATATAGCTTGTTCAATGTTTTGTTTGATTATAATTTACATCAAACAGAATATGTCATGTGTGAATCACACCTTTTAAAATACCAGAGACTATTGGAAACAGTTCTGTTAAGTGATTCTAATGTTCTTCTGAAATCTCAACTATGTAATAAATTTATATTGAAAGGAGAAAATTTGCTGAGTAGCTGTAAATTTATACCTAAAAGCAATCTGAATTTATAACAAATCCCAAATAATTAATGAAAATTTACTATAATCAATCCTCATGTATAGAATGAATTACTAAAGAATGATAAACTTCTAATAATAAAAAATATAAATTCTAATATATGCATTGTAAATATGTTCCTTGTTAATAATTTTGGTGAAAGGATAATAATAACTCTGGTAAAATCACTGGATATTTAGAAGAGGTGTATATATTTAATGCACTTCTTAAATATTATTTCCTTCTGGGATTTTTTATTTGTTTGTATTTTTCATGATAGGCCTGTACAACTCACCATACAGCGCTCAGTCACACCCTGCAATAAAGACCCAGACCTATAGACCTCTCTCTAAAAGCCACTCGGACAATGGTACAGATGCCTTTAAGGATGCATCCTCCCCTGTGCCTCCCCAACCTGGTCCACCTCCAGTCCCACCACTTCGACCAAGAGATCGATCTTCAACAGAAAAGTAAGGCATTCTCCGTCAAAGTGGCCTATATATTGCTTAGGGTTAAAATAAGCCCATATGTCATTCAGTGGAAGAATTAGTGCTTATCTTAAAGATGTGGCATATGTGTGATCTTATCAGTCAATGCATGTACCATGTTGACCACTTCTATTGAGATTGTAGCTAACGCTTTTGCCATCTTGATTAATAACACTGTAGTAAATGAAGTTAGACTTGAAGTAGCGTGGGCAAAAATCTCTCCTTTTTTTAAAAAAAATCAATAAATGCATCGAAAAAGTCAAATATGTAGACCTTATTGTCATTGGTTGATTTGTGACTCATACTGAAGAAAAGAGTAGAATTGCCCTATGTGGTTTCCAAAGCTATAATCTTTACAGGAGTAATTTGCCACATCTTTCTGCCACAGAGTGGCTAGTGGATTCTAAGCATCAGTCTTTCAGTTAGCAGATGAGTGCTTAGCCACTGTGCCACCAGGATCCTTAGCGATAGGCTATGTGTGAAAATATTAGTCAATATATGTACCATGCTGATCTCCTCTAATCAGATTGCAACAAACACATTCACTATCTTCCCTCACAATATTGCACTGAATGAAGTTAGACTTGAAACTATGTGGGCACAATCTCCTTTTTTTTTTTTTTTATCAATAAATGCATTTAAGAAGTCAAATGCATATATAATTGACATGCTACTTCTTGGGTAATACAGTTAACAAGCTCAGCTGCTAACCGAGAGGATGGATGTTTGATGCCATCCAGCAGTGCAAAGCAGGCCTGGGGATTTATTGGGGAAAATCCATTTTCAATTTGAAAATTTGAGAATATCTCTTACACACATATTGTTGCCATGAGTTGGGTCACAATTAACTCAATGGGAACTAGTTTTATTTCTTTTGATCTAGCCGGTTAGAAATCACACAGTAATTTTCAGTTTCCTCATATTTGAAATGTTGTTTATTAATAATTGAAAATAGTTCCCCTGGTACATAAAAAAATATCTTTTTAGAAAGCAGGGAAGATTATTCATCAATCATAAATAAAACAATAGTTAGTAACTGTCTGTTACATATTTCCACCAGCCTTTTGAGATGATACTAATACTCATTTCTCCACTGAAATATTTTTATAGAAATTGTTCTCACTAAAATTAAAGATTACAAACATATTTTTACGGTGCCATATTTTACTGGATTATGACTAATAATCCTACTTATAGGTGGTCTTTTTATAGGAACTCATTATGAGCCAATCACTGGGTTATGCACTTTTCCTGTATGATATCATTTAATTCTGAGAACAACTCAATGAGATATGTTCTATTTTAAAGCTACTTGAGAAAGAAAGAAACTGCAGATTGGAAAATTGAAATAACTTGCTCAGTTCATACAGCTAGCCTGTCCAAGGCAAGATTCTGACTCAGCTCTGAGGAAACTCAAAGCCCACATTATGCTGACAACTAACAGAAAAGGGTATAAAGATTATACTTTACTGTTTATTAAGAGCTCTCTATCACACACACTTATCTCAGAAAAGTTGTATTCAAATCCCCATTGTACCATTAAGCATAACTGAGGATCATATTCGTATATGGTACAGGATATCATGAAAACTGCTCAATTGCTTCATATAGTGTTTAGAAAGTGTTACAGCTTAAAATTTGAGAACTAGTCATCTAGTCACAAAAGGGTATCTTTGCTATGAAAAATGGAAGCAAAAATGAACTCAAATTTAAATGTATCATTTTCCTATGTAGTCAATAGAAATACATTTCTCTATTAAGAAATATGATTGTTGCTATTGTTAAGTGCTGTTGAGTAAGGTCCAACTCATAACGACCCTGTATAGTGTTTCCAAGAAGTGACTAGTGGGTTTGAACCACTGACCTTGTGCTTATGACAGCCCCTTAGAAATCTCTAGATGTCATACATAGGCATTGTCTCATAAAATCCTTAAGATGCCTCTATAAGGAAGGAAGGACACAATTTTATTATATGTTTTGTAGGTGAAAACAGATGACCAAAGAAAGTTAAGGAGTTTGCTGAATTTTATCCATCAGTTTAGGTGAAAGCCAGGACTTGCCTCTGGTTCTTGAGTCAATTCTGACTCACACTAACCCTGTAGGACAGAGTAGAACCACCTCAGAGGGTTTCCACAACTGAAATATTTACAGGACCAGATTGCCAGTTCTTTTCTCCCCACAGAATGCCTGGTGGGTTCAAACTGCAAGCCTTTCACTTAGCAGCCTAGAGCTTAACTAAGACTCCTCCTTCAGTGTCTTGTTAAGCGCCCTGGAATCAATGGAGAACTCTTTCAGCCTACCCACCTAGAAAACTTTTACTTTCTATGTCTTTCTTTGAACATCTTTTAGAAGGTGTGGCACTATAGGTTAAGCACTGAACTTTGAACTACAAGACCATCGATTCAAACGAACCAGCTGCTCCTCAGAAACCCCATCAAGGGTCGCTGTGAGTTGGAACAGACTAGACAGTACTTACCAGCAACAGTTCAAGAAAAGAGCTCCTGGTGTGGAACTGTGGGAATCCACAAGGTCAGCGGTCCAGGTCCTAACCCACCAGCTGCTCCAGGGTCACTGTGAATGGGAACTGACTCAACAGTTCTTAATAACAACAGCAGCACCGGCAATGTAGTACATGTTTGACTCTGGTTTTTACAGGAAACACCTAGAAGGATCGTTCATACCACACAGCTTTCTCCTATGTGAGGCAAAGCAAGTGATGCTTTTGTACTTTTCACAGAGAAACGATGTTGCCAATTGCCACATAAACAGTATCAAACATAGTGAATGCATTGTTGCTGTTGAATGCATTGTTGTTGTTGTTAAGTACCGTGGAGTCAGTTCTGACTCATAGTGACCCTGCACGGGGTTTCTGAGGCTGTAAATCTTTACAGGAGCAGAGCGCCTCACCTTTCTCCTGTGGAACCGCTGGTAGTTTTGAACTGCTGACCTTGAGGTTGGCAGCCTGACTCATAACCACTATGCTACCAGAGCTCTCCTTATCATTTTGCATCAAGGATGCCAGGTCACAGAGTGCTGGGATGAGCTCACATAGTTTAGCAGAACACACCATCACTTATTCTATACACAAACATATGCAGCTGCAATTTGGGACCCAGGGATTTACCAGCGTGTCACTGCCTACATGTCTACAAATCCTGGGTATGAGTTTGTGAATCAGCTGTAGAATAGCCATTGTTTGAAGAAAATAGAGGGAAACATTTGATGAAATGGTGTTCTTTAAAAGGTTTATGTATACCAAAACATAAATGTAATGCCATTTACAGATTAAGTTATCCTGAGAGACTGTTTAAATTATACTAAGACTGATTTTGTGGCTTTAGACAACTCTTTTAAGCATGAAAAATTATTTCAGTGTGTATTGTCTTGTGTATTTCTAGGCATGACTGGGATCCTCCAGACAGAAAAGTGGACACAAGAAAATTTCGCTCTGAGCCAAGGAGTATTTTTGAATATGAACCGGGGAAGTCATCAATTCTTCAGCATGAAAGACCAGTAAGCACTTGTCACTAAGCAGTCTACCAGTTTCCTAGTCTTCCTGGGTTCCCAAATAACCTGAATTTCATAATATGTAGCAATTTTTTTCACAATGGTAATTTATTTGTTTGACATTATTTATTTGTTTTGTATCAAGATGTGAGCATGTTGTCTAAGAATTAAAAGATGCACTCCCTAATATATTGTCCCTAACTTGCATGTAACTAGGACCATGCTTAAACATGACCATGAGATTAATTAAATTTTAAAAAAAAAGAAAAGCAATGTAACACTTAATAGTTGCTTTACATTTTTCCAATACACGGGGATCTAAATAGTTCCATCCCTCAGTTGTTTAATATTTCATTGTGGTTGTCTAATATTTGCTGTTTAATATTTCTTTTACTTAAGGGAAACTTTTCCAATTGTCTTTTCATTACAAGTTGTTTTAATTGATTCTTATTAAATCCCTCTCAGGTTACAAGCCTCAAGCATCCTTATTGATTGTCGATCTAATGGATCAAGATTATATTCGCAGTAATCTTATTCCAATTATTAATTTAAGTGTATGCTAACAAAAATATACTGAGGGTAGGGAAGGAATTGCTTGCCTTTACAAAGTACAATTTAACAAATAGAGTCCTCCTTGGTCCTCTTTAATCTTTATTCCCCCAGGTCCTCTTTTCTGTGCCCTTTGCTTCTCTTCTCCTTGATCAGTGACCTCATGATCTCTCTGAATCTCTACAATTCCTTTGTACCTCCATCAAACCCTGCTTCTAGAAAAAGAATTGGCGTCTTATGCATTTTACACCCATCCTGGTCTTAAAAGAATTTCAGATGTCTGTGAACAGGATCAAAGAGAGTTCTCAATTTATGTGCATTCTAGAGTATCCAAGTGTGGCACCGTAGGATAAGCACCGGGCTGCTAACTGCAAGGCTGGTGATTCAAACCCACCAGCTGCTCCTCAGATATCCTATGTGGGGTCCCTTTGAGTCAGAACCAACAACAGAGTATCCAGAAATCACACTATTACAAATAATGTGAGTTCCATCCTAAAATATGATTTGGAAATCCTTTCCTCACTACACCCAGCAGAAGTGCACTTGATAAAGTTTGCAGAGCCCTTTACTTGTGGTTGGTTATGTTCTTGAGAAGCATGTTCAAAAAATCTTATAATCACATAATTCACATATGAGATTTATCTATGTTTTCCTCATCTGTCTTCAAGTAACCTGTGTGTTTAGAGTGATAAGCCTTCAACAGAATAGCTGAAAGAAAAAATAGGACCACCACTGACTTGCAGGCTCCATTGCAACTTATAGGTTATGTGATTGACTATCATGATTCGGAAATATTCTCAAACTTCTAGGATGAGAATTGAGTGAACTATGATTTCATCATTGCAGAACGTGAAAGATAGCCAAATCATTGTGCCACATTATGAGTCTCAGAGGAGTCCTGGTGTGGTGCTGTGGGTTAATGCATTGGACTGCAAAGCCGGTTTGAACCACAAAGTCAGCGGTTCAAGCTCACCAGCTGCCCCTCGGAAATCCTGTACAGGGTTACTATGGGTCGGAACTGACTCACTGGCACTTAACAACAACAACATAACTTTAATTATTAGTCTTAGTAGTTTTTGAGATATTTAGGACAATGAACCATCTGATAGTTTGGAATGCTTTTGTAGCTGTGGTGTCAGGAAGCAGGATTGATTTTAGAATATTGCTACTATTTCTAGTATTTACTTATTCAACAAAATTTATTGAACTATGTGACTGGATTCCTGGTGTGGCAATAGAAGATAAGCACTGAACTGCAAGGTCAATTTGAATCACAAGGTTGCCATTCAAATTCACCAGCCACTCTTCAGTGCATCAGAAGCAACTAGATGGCACTTAACAACAACATCTATATGCCTGTTGTGGCCCTGTAGGATAAATACTAGACCGTTAACTGCAAGGTCGATGGTTCAGACCTACCAGCCGCTACTTGGAAATGTTATATAGGGTGGTACTTAACAACTTAACTATATGCCAGACACTGTATTTGATGCTAGTGCCACAATGGTAAGCAAGACTTTACCTCAAGTTGCTTATAGTCTAACATTGAATGTAAATGCAGGGCTGGATCTTTGTGTGTGCAAGGTAAGCAGCCTGCTTTATGGTTAAAGTGGAGGTGTAACTAAAGAATTATCCCTTTGCTCCGGGAGCTCTTGTGTGGGCTCTGTTGTAATGATTCACATATCCACACTGGAGTTAAAACTTTGAAGGCCCTGTTTTAAAAAGCAATAATAACAGTCATTGTTCTTCTTCATTTTGTGCCAGTCCCTATAATTAGCAGTTTATGTCTGATCTTATATAATATTCCCAACAGCCCTATGATGAAGATATACGGCCTTCCCATTTTGCAGATGAAGAGTACACATTAAATCACTCTGCTCCTAGTCACATAGTTGGTAGGTGCTGGAGCTAGGAATTGAGTGTAGGCAGATTCACGCCTGGTGTGCTTGATCACCACTATACTGTCATATACGGGTTCACCCAAGTAGGAAACATATTTAGCTAGTAGTCATTGTCACCTGAATTAGTTTCTCTGATTTGTTCACAGAATTAAATTAGTTTGTTTGCTTATTTATTTACTAATTTATAACAGCTTAGTATATAAATTACTTATGTACTTTACTAGAATCCTAGGCCTTAGATACTTAAGACACAGAATCAATACATCTAACTGCTTCTAAGAATAGAAAGATTGAAGCAGGAGTGTGGTCAGGGGTTTGGGTTTGACTGGGTTCCTACAGCCAAAGACCAAGAAGCCAAAGAAAGAAAAGTGGAAAGAATTGGAAAACATGGAAGGAAATGAGAATTGATATCATATGGAGAAATGGGAAGGTCCAAGACATTTTCCCCTCCTAAACAATTGTGCTGAGACATGATTTGAGCTAACCATCTGAATCATTTTGACTAAACTCTTAATTATATTGTTGTTGTTGTTAAGTGCCATCAAGTCGATTCCAACCCATAGCGACCCTGTATAGGGTTTCCGAGGAGCAGCTGGTGAGCTTGAATTGCCGACCTTGCAGTTCAAATGGCTTTGCAGTCTGGCGCATTAACCCACAGCACCACACCAGGACTCATTATATTGTTAGATGCCATCAAGTCAACTTTCAACTCATGGCAATCCCAGGAGACAGCGTAGAGCTATTCCATAGGGCTTTCTAGGCTGTAATTTTTACAGATCTCACAGAGCCACCCACTGGTTGTGTTCGGACTACCAGTCTTTCACTTAGCATCTGAGCACTGAATCATTGTGCCACCAGGACTCCTTTGTTTGTTATTATAATAATGTTGTTGCTGTTAGGTGTCATCAAGTTGGTTCTGAGTCATAGTGACCTTATTTATGTACAGTAGAATGAAACACTGCCCAGTCCTGAGCCATCTTCAAATTGTTGTTATGTTTGAGCTCATTGTTACTATAATAATTGTTTTTGTTGTTGTTATTAAGTGCCATGGAGGTGGTTTCCACTCATAGTGACCCTGTTTAGGGTTTCTGAGGAGTGATTAGTGAATTTGAACTGCCAACCTTGAAGCTCAGACCCTGTCTTGTGGTCCAGTGCAGTATCTCACTGCTCAGTTTATTTCTTTTCTTTTCATAATCAACCTAGAATGGAATATTGTTTTTGTTGTTTTTAAGTGACTTTGAGTCGGTTATTGCCCCTTTGAATAATAAGAAGAAAAAAGAAGAGGGCTAAGCACAGAACTGAGCCAAAAGTTTGGCAGTTCAAACCCACCAGCCACTTCTCAGAAACCCTATACATGTCGCTATGAGTCAGAACTGACTCAATAGCAATTAGAAACAAAATTCACAATGGAGTCCTGGTGTGGCACTGTAGGATAAGCATTGGCCTGCTAACCTGAAAGTCAGTAGTTCAAATCCACTGGACACTCATTGGAAACCACATATAGGGTTGCTATGAGTTGGTACCAACTTGATAGCATTAACAAGTACACAATGGTTGCAGAGACTGCTAAGCGTTGATAAAGTTCCTGAATGCCTTGAACACATAGGCATAGAAGATGAAGACCAGGTTTACAAAACAGATACAGTAACATAGCAAATGGACAATGTGATGAATTTAAAGGTTTTATGAGCACACTCTCACATCTCTATGCTAAGATGGTTTCTGAGCCTTCCTTTCCTTTTTCCATATTTTATGTAAATTATGCACAATAGCTCAGATTTCTCACTAATTATCCAGTCTAATCTCCACATCACAGCTAGGACAATCTTTACAATCCTGCTCAAAGCTTTCCATGACTCCACTGCCCTTCATGTAGGACCCACATTCCTTACCATAATTTGCAAAACATCATTGTACTTTGGCCCAAGTTGGCTTCTCCATGAAGCCTGACTCACTTCTTATCCTGGCTGCCTCCTTCTCTGTATCCTACCTACACAGGGAGCTTTCAAGTCCATCTTGCTGGACCTTTGCACACACTATTCCCTCTGCCGGGAAAACTCTCCCTGCCACCCCTCCCTTCAAATGAAAATATCCATTTTATCCTTCAAGTGTCATCCTAGACACACTTGCCTCTAGATGCCTTCCTGGGCTCTTCAACATTACAGCACCCCCTGCTGAGAGATCAAGACACCACAACCTGTATCACATTGAATTAAAATAGCCTGTTTACTTGTCTGTATCCCTCACTAGACTTTAAACTCCCTGAAAGTAGGAACCATATCTAGTGCACCAGTTGTATCCCCAGCACCTGGCGCAATGCCTGGCACATGGTAGGTGTCCAGTGACTAAATTGATAGGTTTTACCCTTGTAGTTGTAGTTGGTAGTTAGAGTCATGGTGTAGCACTGTAGAATAAGCACTGGACCACAAGGTCTGTTTGAACACAAGGTCAGTAATTGAAATCCACTAGCCGCTCCTTGGAAATCCTATATAGGGTTGCTATGAGTCAGAACCGACTTGACTACACTTAACAATAGTTGGTAGTTAACAACAGTTG